ACATGGTTTAGGGTTGTGCTGTAGTCAAACATATCCATTTCAAGTCAGTGTAGAGCAGCTGGAAGTTACACATTTCCTATTCTGGCAGAACAAAAATATAAGGATTTTGATATTAACATGGGTTGCTATGTATTCTACCTATTTTTTAAAAAGGTCCAGTTGTGGATTGTATTCTTCCATTCATTTTAATACAGCCAGTGTGAGGTTCTTGCATTGAAATGAGCAGAAGATGCACAGAATACTTTGCCTGGTTACTTGCACCCAGGGATAACAGCAAAAGCAATCTGGTGCTTTTGAAAATCACAAACAATTTCTCTTTCTTCTGCCCATCTTGTTTCTAAGCAACTGCAAACATGACCCCATTTGCTTGGCAGGTACTGTTGATCATTAGGTATTTTGCCCTTCAATTCATTCTCAATTGCTCATTAACTATAATCGTTAATGGGCCACTCAATTTCACTCCTACGTTATCCAGGAAGATTAAACACTCTCACATGCAAAATGTTTGTTGTTCAGCAAACTATTTTTACTCACTCTGGATTTCGATGCGTTTGAGAAGAAAGATAAAAACAACCAAAGAAAAGTGTATATAAAAGTGATTGATTACCCCAATTTTTCATTTTTTATTTTAAAAACCATTAAACAATCTGGAAGATCAGGCAATGACAGGTAAGAGTGATGATCTGTGTTGCTTTCATCTAGCTTAGCAACTTCCTTGGAGATGCAGGTCAGAAGTGTGTAAATAAAGCCCTGTCTTCCTTCCTTTCCCACACAGAATCACATTTCACTTGCATAGACTCATCAAGAGTTTGGAATTAAACTTAAAAAAATAGGTACCTTACATTTTAAGGTTTTGAGAAAAAGGAAATCTGTAAAGCAGATTTTTTTAAAAAAAACACAATTTATGGAGAAGCTTGTTTTGAGGTAAACAACTTCCCTCTTTTTTGTGTGTATTCTAATACAATTTCATTGTATTTCTATTGCAGAATCAATTGCAAAATATTTTCTTGACTTTAAACAAAATACAAAGTTTTAAAAGAAAAACTGATTCTTGGGGAACTATAAAATCAGTACAGAATAATATGACAGACAAGCTGGACCAGGTAAATAGTTCTGATTTAGATTTTCACCAATAACTTAGTTGCGTCTGTGCACTCTGGAGTCATGCTGATTAGTTGCAAGCCACTTATATTTTGCACAACAAAGCAAAAATACAGAAAAAGAGAAAGGGGACGGAAAAGAGGGGTTACTTGCTTACACATGCCAAGCTGCATTATAAACCACCCTTCCATGTGTTGCATCATTTGTATAATTAAAAAAGCTGTACCAAAGAGCAACCTTTAGAATATATTTGCTAGGCAATTGTGTTCTCTGTGTTGAATTCTAGTGTTCATGTGGTGGGTGCTTTAACCGCAAGAGCAAGGAGACACACATACCAGTAAGTAGCGGGGACTGGGCCATTAGGGTGAAGGAGGCATTGCCCCACCAACCTCAGCAAGCTACAACTTGCTTGCTTTCTTACTTAAAACCAGGGATTGGCACTGCCTGACAGCTTCCTGCTCCTTAATCTTTGTGTTGTCATAGAACACAGCAGGGCTGAGGATGAGAGCAAAACTAGAATTAGTTGGCTGTGCCTGCTTCTGGCTCCACCTGGTGTTGAGCTCCTTGCCTTCCACCCCTTCATAGAATCACAGAATCATAGAATTATAAGAGTTGGAATCTCAACTAAAGCATCCAGCACAGATGACCATTCAACCTCTGCTTTACACCCTCCATGGAAGAAGAGTTCACAACCTCCTGAGGGAGACTGTCCCACTGTCAAACAGCTCTGACTGTCAGAAAGTTCTTCCTGATGTTTAGACGGAATCTCCTTTCTTGTAAGTTGAAGCCAGTGGTTTGGGTCCTGCCTTCCAGAGAAGGAGAAAACAAGCTTGCTCCATCTTCCATGTGACAGCCCTTCAAATATTTGAAGATGGCTATCATATCTCTGGTGGGACGCGAGTGGCGCTGTGGGTTAAACCACAGAGCCTAGGACTTGCTGATCAGAAGGTTGGCGGTTCAAATCCCTGTGATGAGGTGAGCTCCCCTTGCTCGGTCCCAGCTCCTGCCAACCTAGCAGTTTGAAAGCACGTCAAAGTGCAAGTAGATAAATAGGTACTGCTCCTGCGGGAAGGTAAACGGCGTTTCCGTGCACTGCTCTGGTTCACGGCTTAGTCATGCTGGCCACATGACCTGGAAGCTGTACGCCGGCTCCCTCGGCCAATAAAGAGAGATGAGCGCCGCAACTCCAGAGTTGTCCATGACTGGACCTAATGGTCAGGGGTCCCTTTACCTTTTTATCATATCTCTTCTTAGTCTTCCTGGCTAAACATACCCAGCTCCCTCAACCATTCCTCATAAGGCTTGGTTTACAGACCCTTGATCATCTTGGTCGCTCTCCTCTGCACACGTTCCAGCTTGTCAATATCCTTCTTAAATTGTGGTGCCCAGAACTGGGCACCTTATTCTAGGTGTGGCCTGACCATCAGTCTCAGACGCCAGCCACCACTGCTAGCAAGCTGAACCTCAGTTGAGTCTGGCCACACAATTGATGGACCATGCACCATTTTGCTTTAAAAGTGGCATTTGTGCACTTGTTGATCATTTAAACATTCATCCTCCAGGGTTTCTTTTTTAAAACACTGAAAATTTTGAAAAATAAGTAAATTAAAATGGCCACAAAACATTTGAGGGGATTGAAGGAGAGGTGTTAATAATGTCACTATTGGCACTGGTCAGTTGAGGCCTTCCACACACATCCAACAGGCCCAGTTCTGCTGAACCATATTGCAAACTTGCAAAGATGGGCTTTCAGAGATTGCAAATGGCAGAGCTGGGTTTATACCAGAGGTGAAGAATGTGCTGCGGTTTCCCCTTAAACACTTCATCTGTCTTTCTTCCACCCAAAAAATAGATCAAAGGCTCAGTGGCCGTCCCAAATTAATTACCAAGTAAGAATTGTTGCTGCTTTCCCCAGTTCTTGCATCAGCACTCCTGGTGTCCAATTAAGTGCTAGTCTGAGGCCACACATCCATTTCTCACAGGTCAGCAAGCAGCTGTGAGACGACAACTTCTGGACATTAAACAACTTCGCTTGGATTTGATCTGACGCCTCCCAGGTAGAAAGCTTTATATGTCCAATTACTGCTGCCAAAGCTCAGTCAAATGAAAGGAGGAGAGGGTGTTTTAGGGTGACAGAATATAATGATCTATTGCCCAATTTCACCAGCTTCCCCGAAGTTCTGTTTCTGTCTTTCCAGACAGCACAGAGCTTTCTATCTTTTAAAACCAAGGTAACCATAGCTTAAGGGACACGGGTGGCGCTGTGGGTAAAACCTCAGTGCCTAGGACCTGCTGATCGTAAGGTTGGCGGTTCGAATCCCCGCAGCGGGGTGAGCTCCCGCCGTTCGGTCCCAGCTCCTGCCCACCTAGCAGTTCGAAAGCACTCTTAAGTGCAAGTAGATAAATAGGTATCGCTTTATAGCGGGAAGGTAAACGGTGTTTCCGTGTGCGGCGCTGGTGCTGGCTCGCCAGCTGCTGCTTCGTCACGCTGGCCACGTGACCCGGAAGTGTCTTTGGACGGCGCCGGCTCCCGGCCTCTTGAGCGAGATGAGCGCGCAACCCTAGAGTCAGACACGACTGGCCCGTACGGGCAGGGGTACCTTTACCTTTAACCATAGCTTTGAATGACATTTTCTTGGAGAGGCAATATTATTGCTGTATAAATGTGAGATTTGATGAAGGAGACGATGCAATCACAAGTGTTTTCCTCATGGGGAGAAGTGGGCTTATCTACACCTATATTTATGCATATTCTCCATACCAAGGATGAGGAACCCCTGGCTCATGAACCAGATGAACCCTACAGGACTTCCCCTTCCAATCTGCCCCCTACCCTATTTTCCCAGCTGCTGAGTTGTGGTTTCCCATCAGCATGGGGAGCAAACTCTATTCTCTATGCTACCCGGCTGATCAGAGGTAACAGTTTGCCCACTGCTGAGATGTACTCTCTGATCAGCTCAGCGGTATAGAGAATGAGGCGTCACAGGAAGGACAGATTATAGCTCAGCAAAGGACTCACTGTGTTTTCAGGCTACAAGATGAGAAAGAGAGGCTCCTTTCACCATGCCACATTATTATTATTTATTAAAATTGTAGACCACACTTCATCCGAAGATCCCAGGGCAGTTCACAACAGAAAAATACAAAATGAGAATATAAAATACATAATAAAACAAAAACAAACCAATAACGCCCCCCTCCATACACATATTTTAAAAAGCCATAGAACGTTAATCAGCCAAAGGCCTGGGTGTCTTCGCTTGGCACCTGAAGATATGCAATGAAGGTGCCAGGTGAGATTCCCTGGGGAGAGCATTCAATAGGCAGGGAGCCACCACAGAAAAGGCCCGTTATCATGTTGCCACCCTCCAGACCTTAAGTGCAGGAGGCACACAAAGAAAAGCGGCAGATGATGAGCACAGGGGAGAGAATGCTTGAGGTTCTGTGGTCCTGAGCCATTTCAGGCATGGTGGGAAGGTTCTGTGACCTTTAGCCAAAGTCCATTTCCACTCAGCACAGAGTGTTAACTCCTTGAAGCTCACAACATTCTAAAAGTCTTATGAGTCTGTTACCTGTTGTATTTTCTGCGGTGGCCCCCCATGTGTCGAATGTGTTATGTACTGAAGTACTCGCCCTGGGCCAGTAGGGGGATACTGTAGTTTTCACTCAGGTCCACATATGCAAATAAGGAATTGAAAGTGACATTCAGTGATTGGATAGTTACAGAAAACTGTTACTGTTGCCTTGTAGTTGAGCTCTATATGTTGTTGTTTAGTCATTTAGTCTGTCCGACTCTTTGTGACCCCATGGACCAGAGCACGCCAGGCACTTCTGTCTTCCACTGCCTCCCGTAGTTTGGTCAAACTCATGCTTGTAGCTTCGAGAACACTATCCAACCATCTCGTCCTCTGTCGTCCCCTTCTCCTTGTGCCCTCCATCTTTCCCAACATCAGGGTCTTTTCCAGGGAGTCTATATAAGTAGTAGTCAGTCTGCATCTTTCATTAAGGGCCGCTCAGTCTTTCAAATAGGCTCTGGAAGATGTATGAGCTCTATATAAGTAGGCTCTATTCTGCCCTGTGAATAAACAAGAGCTGTTTGAAGAACCGCTGTGTCGTCTGATATGTTCACTTACAACTTAACAGAATGCTCTCCCCAGAGAACGCCCCCCCCCCCGGCACCATCATTACATGTCTTTAGGCCCCAGGTGAAAACATTCCTTTTTACCCAGGCCTTTGGCCATTAAGTAATCTATGGCCTGTTAAATGTGTGAGGGGCAGGGACGGACTGTTATTATGATTGTTTTATTATTACACTGTGTCCAGGCAACCCCACCCCCGATGATGTGCGAATATTCAAAATGTGTGTGATCATGCCAAACCTGGAAGTGACCTGAAAATGTGACAAAAACATCACAAAAAGGGGTGGAACAGGACAGGGGCGGAACAGGGTGTTTGCAGGACTTTTCACTGGTGTTTCAAATATATGCGATTTCGCTTAAACACGTGGTGTCTTGGAACATAATCCCCGCGTAAACTGGGAGTTATGTTTTTGCTATGATGCTGCATTTTTGTTCTTAATGTTGTACACTGCCCTAGGATCTTTGGACAAAGGGGGTATATAAATTGAATAAGCAATAATAACAATAATATTACTGTATACCACTTTGGTAGCTTTCGGCTGTGGTTTATAAAGCTGCAAAATAGTAACGACATATTTCTTATCAGATATTCCACTCTTCTTGTTCTCTGCTTCTGAGCAATTCAAATGCAGCTTTCTACGCATTGTTTCTCATGTTTCCACCTGTGCCTTAACTATTAAACACAATTAGGGGACAACATTGTCTGCGTTTCAGAATGCGGTGGAAGGCTGATCTATAATAGTCAGTCTGCATCTTTCATTAAGGGCTGTTCAGTCTTTCAAATAGGCTCAGGAAGATGTATAGGCCTCCTGGTTTTATGATTTTGCTGGTGTTTCAGTTTGCATTACTCTTCCAAGCCCTCCCCCCCCCCTTTTTAAAGGCTTTGACGATTACTCTTTTGAGGAGTGGAAAAATCAATTGAGTTCCTTCAAGCTCCAGAGATTTTTCCCTGCCCTAAAAAACTCACTTTAATAAAAGGCATCTCCCAAGCTGCACTGCTGAAGAATCCAGAGTGAAAGATAGGAAGGGAAACCCATCATTTTCAGGGGGTGATTATAAAACTGGAGCCTAATGCAGCAAAGAGAGAAGAAAAAAATGTCCCCAGGATTTCAACTAGGGGCATTAAACAGAAGGTTTTTTTTGGGGGGGGGGTTGTAAATATATCACTGCCTGTCCCTGACTCATGGGAAATCTCCAAGTGATTTTTTTTAAAAAAATAAGGGCCAAAGTTAAGTGCTGCCTGAATGATTTCAATGGGAGCATTAAGCATGTGCTTAATTTACTCACATCGATACAAAAGGGACTTAAAAGTGATTAACCTTGCTTGGCTTAAAAGAGATCAATAGGTGGTTTGCCTAGCACTGTATCTTCATAGGTGCTCTGGTCCTCCACTACTAGGAAATACGATGGAGGGGCTCACAGCATTAACACCCCAAGAGGGTCTTGCTTGTCCAATAGCCACATAGAGCTGGATTCCAGCAGAAGTCAGGCATGGCTCTGTCTCTCAGCTGCCCAGCCTGCAGCCTGTGTCTCCTAGCTCTCACATATCTCTACTCCGGCCTTTTGTCTTTCTAGCTACCAGTGAGTTGAGGGAGGAGCCCCTACCCATCTGAAATCTGTCTCAGAGCCACTTCCTTTGTTACCTTAATGGCCCGTGCTTAGAGCGCCATTAACTCACCAAGAAGCTAGCCTGGCTGTTCCAGGAACTGAATCTGTGCTGAATCCAGGAATTAGAAGGGGGCTCAGGCATATAGCCTATCCCCCCCACCCAAATTCACAGCAATATAATGCACGGGGAGTTGCATTGTTGCAGGGAGTGCAGAAGTCTGCATTCCCTGATTTAAAACAAAGCACAGCAAATGTGCATTCTTTAGTTGGTTGGACAGACTTCAATGAAGTTATATATATATATATGTGTGTGTGTGTGTGTGAGAGAGAGAGAGAGAGAGAGAGAGAGAAGCAAAAGGTTAATAAACTGGGATAGCTGGAGGTCTTGTTGCTGTTTTGTTGCTTTTTATTATTATTAAAGGGTTAGATAATGGATCCCACATTTTCCAAAGGGTGAAATATTGCAATCAGAGTGTTTGAGAGAATGTGATAGCCCTGGGATAGATAGACTCCTTCACTTTGGGAGGACACCTAGACTCTGCAGAAACAAATGATTAACAGCTGCACAGCTGTTGTGTAAAAATCCAACCGTCTGAACTTTGGAGAGCCTTGCCATTTACAAGTCAGGCTGAGAATTATTATTTCAGCTGAGAATGTATTTAGAAGGTTTCTTGGATGTCTTTTTAAATGGTCTAATTTTAACAAGACATAACCAGTGTGATAATAGTGCTTAGTGTGTATATACTTTAGCACTTAAATTGTTCACGCTTTTAAAAAAATGGTTCACCTATATCATCTCTACAATCCTTTTAGGAACTTTGCAAGGTACGTATGTGACCCGGCTTCTTCCCAACAGATGCAGACAGAGGCTCTTACTTGTAAGTAACAAAGAGGTACAGATTTAGCAGCAGAATCAGTGCTCACGAGTCGCCACTCAGGAGTTCAAGAGCGAAACAAGACTTTCAGAACTGGATGGAAGCAATCAAGATGTCCCCACAAGTAGCTGGTGTTGGGATTTGTACAGTATTTGTTAGAACATGTATTTTACAAAGAATAAATTGTATTGGTCCCCCCCCCCCGAAAACCTATGTAATGGAATGTAACATCAGCAAAATCTTGTGACTCCAATTAAGGTCACAGAAATGCCGAATCATTGTCTCATCAGTTTGTTAACTCCCTTTAAAGTGAGCATGTCTTAGGTAGAGATAGGAGATAGGAGGGGTTGGGAGCTGGGGGTTGGCAGTTTCACTGTTGTTTTGCTGAGTGTGAAGACGCTGTGTCTGGAGGAGTTGGTGAGGACAGACAAGCTATCATTTAGGGACTGCTTCACATGAGTTTTAGCAGCAAGAACCAAGAAGACCCTCTCTTGGGCTCAAGAGAATGAAAAACATTGCATTGGATATATGCATGATACTGCTTGTAATAGTTGGCATTCTGCAAGCAAAGAGTCATCTTCAAAGTCTTGTGTGTGGAGTCTACTTCTTCCCTGGGGTTTCGAGGGTGAAAGCGCTGCATGACTCAGGAAAACAGCCAACAGCTGGAATGGAAGGAGGCACCACCACAGGTGACAAACGGCCCAGCCCTGAAGGCTGTGATGCTACACAACAATAATTGAAAGAGGGCACATATTAAGCTGCTTTTTGCCTGATTAGGAACCCAGGAAGCTGTCTTACTTGAGTCAGACTGTTGGTCCATCTAGCTCCATATTGTTTACGCTGACTGACAACAGCTCTCCAGGATTTTAGAGGGACACCTCTCCCAGTCCTACCTGGAGTTGCCAGGGATTGAACCTTCTGCAAGCCAACCAGCTGCCTGGCCACTGAGCTATGGCCCTCTGCCTAACTCAGCCAGATACTGATTTTCATCTGTACCTCTAAAATGACCCCACCTTTTCTGATCCAGTAGGAGTTGCCATTAATAGCATCTTTAGTCTGGAATTCTAAGCACACTGAGTAAAAGTCTATCTAAATTGAGGTTGTTTCTAAGTAAACACAGGAGTGGACTGCAGGTGTATGGTTGAAAAATCTTGACTGCTTACTCAACTGATATGAAAATAGGAGGCTTGTGGAAGAAACCAGCTTTTGCTTCTGTCGTCCACTGCATTTGCCTGGGATGGCAAAAAAAATGAAGTCATTACAGTGGTACCTTGGGTTACATACGCTTCAGGTTACAGACTCCGCTAACCCAGAAACAGTACCTGGGATTAAGAACTTTGCTTCAGGATGAGAACAGAAATCATGCTCCGGCGGCGCAGCAGCAGCAGGAGGCCCCATTAGCTAAAGTGGTGCTTCAGGTTAAGAACAGACCTCTGGAATGAATTAAGTACTTAGCCCGAGGTACCACTGTACTGATTCTTTTCAAAAGTAAAGAAATCATTGATAAGCCCCTCTACTTTCTTTATAGGCTCCATTCCACTTTAATGGGCCTTGTTCTAGGGGGGAAAATACTTTCAATGCAGGTTCTGCCATTCTCTTCATTTTCACTTGCCTCTATTCTTAACGTTCAATGCGATAAGGAAATTATCTCCCATTTTTCACAGACATGGCAAATTAGCAGATGGCTGTTTCTTTAACCCTCCCCAGCCCAGTCAAATTGTAAGCAAGGCCAAGGCGACGGAGCATCTGTTGCAGCAGATAAATTCTTTTCATTTAATTGGCTATTCAGGGATCTTTCCAAAGTGCCCCGACACCATCTCCTTGCTGCGCACTTGACTACTTTATGAATGTTCTCAAAGGAACGTAATGATGTGCAGACACAATGGTCCAGCTTTGGAACTCAGGCAAGATCCTGAGCTCCTTGCTGGGTCTCATGCTATGACATCTGCCACTCATGTGTCTTCCCTGAAGCCTTTGCAGTTCATTTGCTGAGGCTTATCCCTTCTAGCGTTTTTCATTCTCACTGCAGTGTTCTGAACAACATGGATTATGCTAACAAAAACTAAAAGGGGAGAGCTTAAATGTCCCCCCCATGCAACAAAATGTGGGTTAGTATTCTGGTTGCATGGTTTTCTAGTTTAACAGGGTTGCAGATTGATTCCCCCCAAGCAATTATTAACAGGGAAATTAAGCAATGAACTCCCACATCCAAATATCTGCAGTGTGTGGAAGAGGTCTGACTTGGGTAAGTCATTACACATTATTACCACCATCTGACAAATTGGAATATTATGGATGAACTTTGCAGCATCCTTGGGAATGTAGATTAATGTGCAGGTGGTAAAATGTACTGCCTAGTGAATAGCGCTCCTTGGAGGAAAGGAAGACGGAATATAATCACGATAAAAATGAATAAAATTAAGTAACTGAGTGTAGCCATTTCTGCTAGAGCTGTGCAAGCAACTCTCAATTTGGCAATGCAGACTGGGCTTTGATCAGGGCCAGACCAACGTACCCCGAACCTGGCCCCTGAACTAAATCGGGGACCTTGCACAGCCCTAATGTTTAATTAGGAATTTAAAGCCTAATTAAAAATTACAAGAGTGGTGATGAGAGGCAGGAAAGAAGTACAGATGAGAATCTCTGCCTGCCTAGTCTCCTTCTCCTCTCCCTTACTGCCCCTCCTTTTGACAGCCCTGAATTGTACAAGGTGGACCCAACCCGAGGTGATCTGGGGCTGCCCTGACACACTCTGGACCAACTCCAAATTGACCTCATTTGGTTCAGGATCAAGGATTTGGCTCAGGCCAGATGTACAGCTCTTAAACTTCTGATGCCTTCTTTTGAGGGGGAAAGAAAGTTGCAGCGTGCTCAGGAATGTTTTGTATTAAAACGTAATTACAAAACAGCATAAGTACAATTTGAAAATATCAGGCAACGTGAACCTTTAAAAAATCAAATGGCAATATATTTGGAGTGAGGTACGGATGGAACAGTTCAATTTAAATACAGTGTAGTACAGCAGGCTAAAGAGATAGCATTATGTGAGTCGGTCACCAGGGGGAGCTACAAGACAGCTTATTGATAAATATACCTGAAACCAACTGTTCTGAACAAGGAAGGCAAGGATGGTTCCCTTGAATAAGGGCTCCTCCACACTTCGCTTCTCCTGTGCCTAGAAGGCGTGGGTGTGAGTGGTTTTCCGCTTGGCCCACATTTTCTAGGCACGAGTCTGAGTGATTTCCCCCTTGTCTAACAAAAGGTGTCATTTCACTCTCTATTTATTTCCAACTTTTCACTGTATAGGCACCCTCTTCTCAAAAAACAGAGGCACAGAAAACGTGTTAAGAAGCTTTGGTCCCAGAGCCGAGAACAGAATGTTGGGGAACTGGCTCAATATCACATAGCATGGATTAGTTCAGGGGTCAGCAAACTTTTTCAGCAGGGGGCCGGTCCACTGTCCCTCAGACCTTGTGGGGACCAGACTATATTTTGGGGGGGGGGAAATGATGCAAGAGCCCCACGAGCCCCGGTGACTGCTTACCTGTGTCTTGCGAGCGGCAGGGGCTGGCAGCGGGAACGATGAGCGGCGCGCGAAAGGGCTGCGGAGAGGGGTTGCTTAAAATGGCGGCCGCTTGAGCACTGCTGCTGCTGGCATCAATAAAGCCCAGCCCCCTTCCTCCTCTAGGCAGGGCAGGGAGAAGCCAGGAGGAGGAAGGGAGGAGGCAGGAGCGGCACCGTGCAAGGGAGAGGGAGGGAGAAGGAAAGAACGTGCACACTGGCGATCCACGCGGCGATTCCCGGACCATCTGCGGGCTGGATCTAGAAGGCAATTGGGCCTGATCCAGCCCGTGGGCCTTAGTTTGCCTACCCATGGATTAGTTTACTCCTTAATATGTGTTAAGCACCTTCTTGCATCTCCAAGCTGGGCAGCAGGCTGTGTTCTACTCCCATGTCAGAGGCAGAAATGCCACTGTATACCCCTTGCTAGAAAACACAGGAGAGGAGACTGCCCATAGGTATCTGTCTGGCCAATTTGGTAACAGCATACTTGTCTAGATAAGGCACTGGCCTGATCCAGCAGGCTCTTCTTATGTCCCCCTGATTTTAGTCCTTCCTTCCTCCCTCCCTCCCTCCCTTTCTTTCTCTTTCGTTCTAGTTTGAACATTGTGGGACATATGATTTGTTACTTATTTGCTTAGGATTGGCAGTCTTAAAATACTTGATGCATGAGGATAGTGCTTTCTTAACTTCAGCATTCTCCGTTTTTATTGCACTTAATGATTTCCCCCCTATGGTGACATTAGCCGGAAACAGAGATCGTCTTCTTGTAAACTGCCACAGTGGGTGAATGGGTCCACTGGAATGGATGGGTATGTAACTTCCAACACACCACTGTACATTCTGGAAAGTCACCCATGTGCCTTAAATGTGCTCCAGTACATCAGTCTAAGGACATATGCAAAAATGCCTTCCAGCGTGATTAAAAACTACATGGCACAACATCATATATGTATCTCCTAGCTAACATGTTTCCGTTCAGGGTTGCTAACTTCCAGCCAGCCATGCCCTCTCCCGGAACACTCCATTGCACTTCCTCCTTTTCTTTGCCCCGCCCCTTTTAACCAACTGTCACTCAACATCTCATGTCCTCATTGGCTGTTTAGTTGTGCAAGCAAGGAGGAGGCTGCATCCTTAAACTTTATTTTTTTTAAAAAAAAACATTTGTACTTCTGAAAATCCAGGGGTTTCCCCAAACAAGCGAATTAGCCATCAGCACTCCCTGGTTCAGTGCACTATTAGAGGATATTCTGATAAGAGGGCGATACTATGCAATGTTTGGCTGATATCAGTGAAAAGACATTTAACACTTTCTGTGTTTAAAATGTACAGGCAACTCACCTTAAATGGTGGTTACGTTCTAGGAGTAGCACACACAGGCAAAATTATTCATAGCCAAAAAAAATTGGGCTCAATGACGGGTGGGATTGCTGAAGTCATTTTTTTCTGAGCGCTCACCCCCTTTAAACAATTTACAAAATATTTTTGATGCTGACGTAAAGCTGAAAACACATGTTAAACGTGTGTAAGTTTCAAGTTACCGTACCTCTCTCCATTTAAAAAAACTTACATCTAGCACTTGAATCTTCAACACACATGTGAGGATAAGCCAAACTGATCACACAGAACATATTTCTAAGGAAATCTTAGTAGAACGGCCATATCAGCCATACAAAGTTCCCTGCTGCGTCTTGGATCTAATTTGCATGATGCAGAAGGAATAAGCATCATTGCTTTCGTCCGAGTCCTGCTTGTGGGGAACTTGACATGGGGCCAAGATTAGGCAAACCGCACTTACCTTTTTGATCTGCCGATTATGGTAGTTCAGCTCTGGAACTTAGAGGGATCACTGTGTATTTGGCAAGAAGGATCACATACATCTCTGTTGACATCACAAAGAAAGAGGCATTAGTAATGTCATCATCATTCGGGATGGCCCAATTCTGGAATTCTGAATGGAGTTCACGTCTCTAGTACATGACTCTCATCTTTTAACTCTGAAAATCCAGGGTTTCCCTCATGGGTGTAGAATTCCCAGAGGAAAAGGGATTGATTGTTAAACCAGTCTGAGAACTGTAGCTCTGGAAGGGGAGCAGGGGTTTCCAAACAAACTCTCAGCAACCTTAACCAACCACAGAACCCAGGATTCTTTTAGGGAAGTCATGCCTGTATAAAGCAGCATGATATTGCTTTAATTTGTTAGCACAGGCAGATCCCCATCGATGTAGTTTAAGCTAAGAGATCAGCCACATACATGTGTTACTTGTGTGCAAGGCCCGCTCAAGTATCCACACCACTGGCCATGCCTCCAACCAATGTTGTGTCCCTGAACTAGCCCTTTCACATGTTAAGCATGGAGGTGTGTCTGCAATGGAAACTCTATGCACCTGAGAAGCTAGTCTAAGGATGCAACATCAGGACCAGCAGTTCCTGCCACAACACGTGAAGGGGCCAAGATCAGCCACTGAAATTCACATCTAAGCCAGAATTGGAACTTGATCAAGTCACAGAATTGTAGAATTTGGAAGGGACCACAAGGGCACAACCCTCTCTAGTCCTAGCCGAACTTCTGCCTCTTCCTTCCTCCTCCCATAACCACTGCCTCTTTGTCCAAGAGTCCTGGCAGCTATCACTCCTAATCTCAGCACATATGTATACCTGCAACAGATACCCTGGTGCATCAACACTAGAGCAACATGGCGGCCACATTCTGCATGCCACATGAATTGGGTTGCCAAGTTCCCATGAGAAGTGAGAACTCCCAATTTAAGTACTTCGTTAATTGAGCAATGCCGATTTACATATTCAGGTGTGCAAGCTGGGTTTCCACCTGCTTGGACAAAAGATTAAAAATAAACTTCCATGTTGCCTAGTCATCCAACCTACAGTGTCGGTGGCTGGGAAGCAAGAACAAGGGTTGGGTTTTTGTTTTTTCCCCACATGTAGATCCTTGCAAGATCGAGGGCAAATAAGTAGCAATTATCATGCCACAGTTGGTAATTTGGCCTCTTGGCTTTGCCAGGCCATTAGATCATATCATACAGTTTCCCAGGACGCTGCTGCCCTGACTAGCATGTGTACTAAACAGCATATGCCGCTAGAGGTCACTGCCGGTTTCTTCCAAACCTGAAAGAAGTGCTGGCTTCATCCCAGATCTGCAGCAGGTAACCCACTTAGCAACAGCTAGATCTTTAAGCTCGGGGACTGCTGATTGGCAGAGCTTCTGCAGCCAAGAGACTGAGTCCAGGAGATCTGTCAGTAAGACACAAGACAGAGACAGAGCGCAGAAGGCGATTCTGCTGCACTTGGTCTCTATTAAGCCGCTGCTTTGTCAGGCTGAACCCCTGCTATTGTTTCACACCCCCCTGCAGTTTTAGCACTGCCCCCAGTGACATCCAGTTATATTGCCAAGTCCTGAGGAGATGGCTGATTTTGCATGGGGCAATTTTAACAGAAGAACTGTGAGCTGTCTGATTCCAATGAGAAAAGGGATGCTCTTTTTCAAGGAAAGGGCTGAATTTGCTGGGTGTGCGGGTTACATCTCTCTTAGCATGTGGCATTTCCACCCGTCACCTCCATTTTCATGCTTGAAGGGAAATGTGAATATTCCACTTCTGTTTTGTTTTTTAAACTGCCTTTTCGGTGCCACTGCCAATGTCCTTCCTTGTCATCGTAGAAGAGGGAGGCAGTGCCTGGTCCAAGAGGAGGGACCACCAGGCTGTGTTTGTCCTTGAATGACCTTGGCTTGATTAGCGTAGGACATGGATACCACGCTGCTCTTCTCCGTATCCCAAATCGCAATCAGTGCTGCAAGGCTCAGGCACGTTAATTTGGGCCTCATAAGCCTGGCATGTGTTCACCACATGGGCTGTTCATCAGAAAGCCAGATGGAGAGAAAATGAGGGAAGCGAATGAAGGCATCTCGTCTCTCTCTCTCTTGGCACCTGGGATGTTAATCCTGGAGTTTATCCCTCGGTGTTGCAGCTGTTGCCCTTCCTTGGTGTGATGAAGGGCACCTTCAGTAGACAAACAAGCTCCTGGCCTGCACAGAGTGTATCTTGGCTTAACATCCGCACTGTCCATTGAAGCCTTGGGACACCATGTGTGCCCCCCTCCCATTAAACGTGTATGCAAGGAGGCCCATTTTAATGGGTTGGCTCACGGACAGGTATCGTTCGAAGGAAGGAATGACATATATACGTAAGGTCAATGGCGCAGTCAGGGCCAGGAGTCCAGGGTCTCCCATTCAGTAGAGACAAGGAAGAAGGGGAGAGCAGGACTGGCTTAACACATTCACCAACCTGGTAACCTCCACTTTGGACTACAGTTCCCATAAGCCCCAGCCACTGTCGCACTCAGGTCCCACTTGCTGGCATAGCTGTCAACTTTTACCTTTTCTTGCGAGGAATCCTATTCGGAATAAGGGAATTTCCCTTTTAAAAAGGGAAACGTTGACAGCTATGCTTTCTGGTTTCCCACAGGTGTCTGGTTGGCCACTGTGAGGACATGTAACTGGGTTACATAGCTGCTACCAGGGCTATTCTTATGTTTCTTTGGGAGTTGTATTCTAAAAGAAGTGAAGGGAGGAATTGCAAGGAAAGCTAATCAGAGAGAGAGAGAGAGAAAGAGAAGCTGTGGGGCGGGGCTCAGGGTAATCCCTCCCCTACCCCTGTTGAAACGTCACTCAAACCTACCTAAGCCATTGTTCCATATAGGGAGCTGATGAATTCTCCCCATGGGCCTTGAGGCGGCTTGCAGGGGCCATGGCAGGCAAGGTGCCGGCTTGGACTTTTGCTACGCAGCTTTTCAAAGGAACAAAGGGGCCAGGGGCCGTTGTGGTTGGGGGTCCCCATTTCTCTATCCGGTGGCTGCGTTGTCATTTGCCGGGCCAACATTAAAGGAGCTGACCGGCCTTGGCGCGGCTGGGTTGTACTGTGGCTCACCCACCGCAGTGAAAACCTGAAGTGTTTCCTCTGAAAGAGGTCCGGCGGCGTGGCTTACTCCTAAGGAAGCGCGCGCGTTGACTGGGAAGGGGCGTCGTTCGGGCAAGCGGTTGCAATTACGCGGAGGCCTCTTTTCCCCAGGGGCGTGTCGCTTTGAAGGCTCCAGCGGGCGCGCGTTCCCAAGTGCTGCTTAACGCGCGTCGCTGCCAACGTTCCATCGGGTCTCCCGCGCGGCCAGCCGGACAACGCGCTGCCCGCCATAGGCCGCTCGGCGCTTCGGAAGGCGGAGCATTGTGACGTCGGGGCTCGCGGGGCGGGGCGCCTGCCCGCGCTATAAAAGGCCGTGGAGGCGGCCGCCGTTTCGCAGAGCGAGCGTTCGGCGCAGCGGCGGCGGAGCTTGGGAGCGGGTTGGGAACTGGAGCGGGGTTTGTTTCGCTGGGACAAGCCTGCCGACGGGGCTATGGATTTATTGAGGACTATCGCTTACCAGCCGGGCGGTACAGCAGCCGGCGGCAGCGGCAGCGGCAAGATGGGCGAGCAGGCGCTGGGCAAGTCCTGCAATGGGGAATCGCGAAGGAAGAAAGCGGCGGAGTCGGCAGCCGAGCAGCATCACCACCACCCGCACTCGGCCACCGAGATCTCTCGGATTATTACCGACCCCACCACGGGAAGGCGATACTGCCGCGGCAAGGTGCTGGGAAAGGTAATTGCCCGGCGGCAGTGGCAGTTTTAGGGACCCGTCTCGTGGATCTTGTCACTGGTGTGCAGAGCTGGTTGTAACGTCGGGGTGGGGTCGCGGGGCGCATAGATTCCCACCCAACATCGATTTATTTTGATTTTGTGTGCGGTTTTTTTGCCAGTGCGTTTTGGCATTTCTGGCACCTAATCTGAGCCTCTCGGTCTGATCTGGGGCAACCCAGCCAGATGGGTGGGGTATAAATAAAATAATAATTTATAATCAATAGCATTCCCCCCCCCGCTCCTCCCGGTCCATCTATCGTGCCTTTTCATTTCCCTTCCTTTGCAAAATTCCAAATATATTTGCTTCTCAGAAAGAGGGCATTTTACATCCCGTGTTCCATTCATCGGGGGCTGCGCTGCGCTATCTTGAGTCCTTATGTCCTGCTGGCTTGATTTGCAGCCCCCTCTGTTTTTATCGTTTGTGTTTTATCACCTCTGCGGATCACCTGTCGAAGTAGGCTTGTTACCTGTGGAGGCTGGTGCATGCATAAGCTGCCAGCCTTAAAGGGCTGCTAAACAAAAGACGGAAGGCTCCACACGGATAGCTGCACGGAGAGGGAGGGCAGCTATCCTGTGTGATTAATGTACATGTCTGTCAGCTGTTCTTCTCCCAATTACATGCAGCAGAAAACTGTCGGTTGCTGTGCCTTTCATCTTGAGCGCTTGTGGCAAAAATGGATAAATGTGTGTGCACTGGTCACAAAATAATCTGTAGGAGAATTGCCTGCTTCACACATGAGGCGGTTGGGGAGGGTTTTGTCCTCTCACTACAGGTTTAAGCTGCTAGACCTCAAGCATTTTACAGGCATTTGTCTGTACTTTTGTTGCATATTTTTGACCGCTGGTTGAGAGAGCTTGCCTGGGGGGCTCTCTTTAGCATCCAAGGCGCTGCATTAATTTGATTAGCAAAGAGTGAGAATTGAGAGCACACTGCAGACTGTCCTTTGGCTGCAGACTGTCACCGTTTTTTAAATTTTGCCGTCATGGTCCCTTGGTAGTTCCGATTTTTCCTGCTTGACTTGGGCTCCCTGAAGAGGGAGGTGGAGGGGAGTTTCTCTGCTGCCTCGCCTAATGTGCTTCTTCTGCTCTGCCTTGTCTCTTCAGGGCGGCTTTGCAAAATGCTACGAGATGACGGATCTGACCACAAACAAAGTCTATGCTGCAAAGATCATTCCTCACAGCCGAGTAGCCAAACCTCATCAAAGGGAAAAGGTGTGTATGTGTTGTGACGCTCCTTTCAGGAATCTCTTTATGTGCTTGGGGGGCCCTTCCCTTTCTCCCTCTGCAGTGGCTTGCTCGCATCTAAGCCCTGCCTCTTCCCACGGCGGTGGCATGTGGATACCGAGGTGCCAGTAATAACCTGCTTCTTGTTTGTGTGTGCCCTTTTCTCCTCTTCCAGATTGATAAAGAGATCGAGTTGCACAAGATGCTCAATCACAGGCACATTGTGCAGTTCTACCACTACTTTGAGGACAAAGAGAACATTTACATTCTGTTGGAGTATTGCAGCCGAAGGGTGAGCATCCATGGGGAGAAATCCGGTATTCCCTTACATGGAATCGGCCGATAGTGTAAAAATGTTTAATGTGTAAAAGGTATTGTCCATAGTTTCTTGAGGCAGCCCTTAATTCCTTGCCTTTGACCCCCACCCCTCAGCTTTTTTCATAATGCTAATGCTTATCGTGTGGTTTCAGCTGAGTGACCTTGCCTGTGGGTTTTTCTCTTTTCTTCCTCTCACCAGTCTATGGCTCACATATTGAAAGCAAGGAAGGTGTTGACGGCACCAGAAGTGCGATACTACCTCAGGCAGATTGTGTCGGGATTAAAATACCTTCACGAACAGGAGATCTTACACAGAGACCTGAAGCTAGGTATGTTGATCTCCCAAGACACTGGGCTTATAAGATGTTGAAAGAGCAGTTTCCTTTCTCATAGACCAAACTGCTGTTTGAAAACTGCAATTCATGGGGATTAATGAATAGGATCAGCTTGTCTGGCAGTGGAGTCTTGGAGTGCTTGAGTAATAGTGCTAAGCATTCATTCATAAAAACAAAAGCACCAACTATGCGCTGGCCTTCTTTAGACGCGAGTCAGCACTTGTCTAACACGTCATGACAGTGAATTGGACTCACCATGTTTCCTCTTCCTCTCTGCCTTGCGTCTGCAGGTAATTTTTTCATTAACGATTCCATGGACTTGAAAGTGGGTGACTTTGGGTTGGCAGCAAGGCTGGAACCGCTGGAGCACAGGAGAAGGTAAGGACCTGGGAAGGAAAGAGGGCAGCAACCTAAATACAGCACAACTGCCTTGGGATTTGTAATCTCTAGTTATGTATAGCAGTGAGAGATGCTGGCTCTCATAATGCGTTTAAAGCATTGGCTTGCAAGCCAGGATATCTGACAGCTGATCAATGTTCTTAATGGCCTTTTTTGTAACAGTTTAGTGGGTCAGCTTCTTCTGCCTGTGAGCAACCCCCATTATTCCATGCACATTTGGCAGGGTGAGTCTTATATAGCTAATGGTGGTGAGCTGCCACCATGGGACATAGGAAGCTTCCTTATACTGAATCAGACCACTGGTCTAAGTAATTCCCTGTTGTCTGCACTGGCTGGCAGCAGCTGTCCAGGGGTTCATGCAGGGGTTTCACACAGCCTCACCTGGAGATGCCAGGGATTAAGCTTGGAGCCTTCTTTACGCAAGGCAGATACAGGCTGTTTGCATATAGCAAAGAATTAAGGTGGAACCTGTACAGTATTTATCGAAAACCTATAGCTTTGGGGACCAAACTAATGCTCTGTTTAAAATGCACTGACTTGGGATTGGATTGCATTGGTTTCACTAAAGTGTATGACACACGTTGAATTTTTGAGAGAGTCTTAACTGTTGTTGGACTGGTAGCTCATTGTTTTGACTCCTCATTCAATTGTCTTTTCCAGAACCATCTGTGGCACACCAAATTACCTCTCCCCAGAAGTTCTGAACAAACAAGGGCATGGCTGTGAATCTGACATTTGGGCTTTGGGCTGTGTCATGTGAGTATTTAGCTGGTGTTTGGTCTTGTCTACAACTGTGTAACTAGTGGGTAGGCTTTGCCTTTCTTGAGGTCTTCAAGCAGACCTTCAACACATCTCTTTGCACTGAGCAGGAGGTTAGACTATGTAACCTACAAGGACCTTACCCAAGTTGCTCTCCTGCGACCTGTAACTATTCAGATTACGCAGAACTCTGGAGATTTGGCTTATTTTGCACAATAAGCTTTGTTTGTGCTAGATGTACATGCAAAAAACAATGCAGGGTATTGTGAAGCCTCACCTTCTGACCTCATCCCCCCATTTGAAATCACATTAAACACACTCTCCAGTAATCTCACCTGGAGATATTATTGCATGTGTGGGCAGTCTTCTTAGACTGAGTCAAACCAGTCTAAGGTCCACCTTCAGCCTAGTGATGTCATTCCCATCTTGTTGGCAGGCTCCTCAAAGGCTTTGGATGGGGTGCCTTCTGCATGCAGAGTCTTTAACAGTTCCACTGATGAGCTATGGGCCTTTCCAGGACCACTTTCCACTCCTTGCAGCCCCATGATATTGGGATGCTTAATCTTCATTGGTTACCAAACCCACACATCCTTGGGTCTTGCACAGACCTGTGGCATGTTCTTGATCTCAGTTCAGCCCCTTCTTACAAAACTTAGCTGACAAAACCTTTTCCAGTACTAGTAATGGTCAGTGGTGGTGATGCTTTTGCTTAAAGACTACTTAAATTGACGCCCTTCTTATAAACATTTTTATTATTATTATTATTCTTGCCAATGATTCAAATAATGAATTGTATACTTCCAACAGGTATACAATGCTACTCGGAAGGCCTCCATTTGAAACAACCAATCTGAAGGAAACTTACAGGTGTATAAGAGAAGCGAGATATTCCTTGCCATCGTCTTTGTTGCCTCCTGCAAAGCACTTGATTGCAAGCATGTTGTCGAAAAACCCGGAAGACCGCCCCAGCTTAGATGACATTGTTCAACACGACTTCTTCTTGCTGGTATGTAGCATTCTTGTTCTTGGTTTGTTTCGCTTCTGTTCAGAGCTACAGCTGACAGCCAGCTGACAGCCCGTTTTTGTACATCTTGTTTCCTCAGGGCTTCACTCCGGAGAGGCTTCCAGCTAGTTGTTGTCATACAGTTCCTGACTTCAATTTGTCAAGCCCGGCTAAGAATTTCTTCAAGAAGGCAGCTGCAGCTCTCTTTGGGGGCAAGAAGGAAAAAGCAAGATATTTTGACACACACAGTAAGTAGATATATTCATACCTGGCTACTATCTATGTACTACAGTAGGCAGAGTTTAGGCTGGAAGGATCAATTTCGTTTCTTACTAAGTCATCAGTGCAAAAGAACACATCTTTTCTGAGAGGGAAGTCCTTTTCGTTGTTGCTGTATCATTAAGTAATCCAGAATCCAAAAACTTGCTGATCTATCTTACGAATCAGCCAGAGATCTACGAGTAGATCCCAATCCATCCTCTGCCCATCTGT